GGAAGTGCAATTTTATTTCATGACCCAACGACAAATCATTGTGGCATGATTTGTCATACCTGACATCAATTGGCTTGATTTTCCTCCACCCGTCATAAGATTCTCCCAGTAAAGTAAAAATCCAATCAAATGACAGATCACTTATTGACACTACACGAGGTGGTTCTAGACGAAACATCAAGGACCAATGGCTTTAACCATCTTTGAGATACAGTCTATATCACAGTGTATGTCTGCAATCTATGTAATACATGAAATATTTCAGTTATTGGCAAGTCAGGCACTCACTAACAAAAACGGGCTATAAGAAAAAATACAAAGCTGCATGTTTATGCATTAGAGGTTTTATGCTTGATGTCCTTAGATATAAGAAATCAAGTTACTAAAATGTGGAAGCTGAAACAAACTCTATAACTGTGCAACTTCTCAGAAGTGGCAGTTGACCTAATCTTGAATTCATTCAATATGCGTAAAAGCTGTGACCCAACCCAACAGATTCCTGTTTCACAATTCCCACTTCCAGGATACATTGGTTTGCTTTTACCGACTCATTACGCCATTGCTCGTAGGGGAGGCGACACGCTGGCCATTTTTTACATTTAACTTTAGCCAACTGTCAGGCAGAATTCAAAGGGGAAGCAGTCTTTGAACAAAACCTCGTGTTTCCTTTCTGTTTTCTCCACTAAAAGCAATTTCCTTTAAAAAAACAGAAACAGTCTCTAACGCAAGAGTAACACAATGTCTTGTATTCAAATTTAGAGTAAAACACAGTAAATGCATTGTTGAGCAATTTTATTGAGAACTTAAACTGTGCATAGCAATTGTTCAGCTGATAATTTGCAGCTTTTGTTCCTGGAACACATTAAGAAAACACAGCAGAGAGCAGCTCTGTGGGACTGACAAAAATAACCTTTGGCATGTGGTGCAGTAAATGTTAGCTCTGTGCTCTGGTGCAGGATATTACGGAGGAGGGGAACACGCTGGAACGGAAGGGAGATGAAACATGGGCAACTGCAGAACTGACTACAGAAAAAAGACAAGACCATACATCTCTCTAACCCCCCACCCCCACCCACCCACTCCTTTCCGCTTCCTCCACAGGAAGCAGTATCGCCTGTTACCCTCCAAAGTATAAATGATTAAATATGGGGTGGAGGTGCTAAAAATAGAAGCTACAGACATGGGATAATAACCTAGGATAGAGAAAGTGTAGCTGTTATTGCTGGAGTGCAAGGCTTTTGCAAGGCAGTTGTCAAGGTAGCTTTCCTGAAAACCTGCATGCTGACATTAAAACCAAAAGCACGATTGCACATATTTACTGTCAGGCTCGTGTACAACATTCTGGACCTGTGTACTCATTGTACAAAGGAAGTTACCACTTCATGTCATGCATCTCTCATCAACACAGCTGTGCTGGCCAGGCAGGAGTGGACTCTGAAAAAGGTTAGAGCTGCGTCACAGCAGGGTTAGTAACTACCCACTAACGTCTGCACGGACACTGTGTGACGCTGGCTGTTACTATCAAGCCCTGAGACCAGAAACATGAAAGCACTGGGTAACAGTGACTGTTTACACTGATCTAAACATTAGATTTTTGAGATGAAAGTGTAGAGACCTTTCATCTTGCAACACAAGTCACAGACTAAAAAACATCTAAGGTATTTAGGGCTTCCATACCTATGCCGGTATGGCTGTGTATGTTCACTTGCAGCTTGCATGTTTAATGTTAGTATAGCAAAGGGCACTATGCCCTTAAAAACGGATTTAAATCAGAAACATGCAAATCGTTCATAAATAATTTAAACTATTTCCCCCTGAAACTACCAAAGGTGCCTAGTGTTTTACATAGGACTGTGACCCCCTGTTCCCCTGTTGCATATTATTCCCCATACAAACTGCCATAATAAGTACACTTTAGAGTCCAAAAAAACTCTTTCCCAACTAAGCAGCTTATCCTTCTAAATATTGCAATCCTGCTTAGCACATTTTATGCCTAAATAAAAAGGAATGCTGCACAAACATGCTACAGCTAGCATGAGTAACCTGTTTGGAATTTCAAATATTATAGCAGATATACTGATCCAAAAGAAAACTTCTATAGGTGTACTACTTTGCTCATATAAAACTGGGTCAAGGGAATTAAAGAATTTAATAGATAAATAAATTCAGTAATGGAATTGCTGTCAATTAGACGCATAATTAAGAAGATCCACTTAAGATTGCACTAGTTGTATGACAGCTTTGAAAGTGAAGCAGATTGGTGGCTTTCAGGTTGTTTAAGTGAAGCAACTTTTAGCTATTGTTCCCTCACTGGCTATGCCTTAAACCATTAGGCAAGAAAGCAAGTAAACCTGGCTATGCCTCACATTTCCAGCAGACCAGGTGTGTCTACCCTGGAGCTGAGTACCTGAACTTAATCGAAACCCTGACCAAAAACAAGCCACACTCCATTCTTCAGAGAGATGCTCCACCCTGCATTTTTCTGGAGAATGATACATACTGCAGCAGGACAATGAATCCAAACACACCTCAAAGCTTTGAGGACCTACTTGAACACCAAAGTAGACCAAGGAGTGTGGACTGCTACCTGACCTCAACCTCAAAGAGCATTTATGGGGGCACTTCAAAGACAAGTATTCCTGGCATCTCAAGAAGTTCAGTGGAACACTGTCAGATCATGCCAGTCTGTGTCTCTTCCAACTCAAGTCCATGCTGTTATTGAAATACAAAGAGTCTGAAATAAAAACATTCTGAAATAAATGTACTTTTTTTCCCCTAGAGATTCAGCTTCTCACTTAAACTGTTAGGCAAGAAAGCAAGCAGAACTTATTTATACAGTACATTTCATTCTAGGTGGATTCACAATGTGCTGCACAAAGCACGAGCTACCACAGAGGCTGCAGGCCCAAACCTATTCAGATAATATGAAACTAAGTCAACAGACTGACGTGAGCAAGTGAATAAATAAAATAACTAAGAATATACCCATAAGATCCATAACACTTCACCACTTTTGACTGATGTCCCA